GAGGCAGCATAGGTGGATGGAGTACTTAGAGGATTATGACTTTATCGAGATTGCCACCGCATCGAGGTGTAGACTTCACCATAGAGTTACAGCCCAGTGCATCCCCTATTTCTATGACACTACATAGGATGACACCAACGGAGTTACAGGAGCTTAAAGTCTAGTTACAAGAGCTATTGGACAAAGGCTTTATTAGGCTGAGTACTTCACCTTGGAGTGCTCCAGTGCTATTTGCCAAGAATAAGGATATGACACTTAGGCTTTGCATTGACTATCGGCAGTTGAACAAAGTCACTATCAAGAATAGGTACCATTTGCCGTGTATTGATGACTTGTTTGACCAGTTGAGAGGAGCACGTGTCTACTCCAAGATAGATCTGCGCACAGGGTACCATCAGTTGAGGATTAGGGATGCCGACATTCCAAAGACGGCATTTTGAACCCGTTATGGGCATTTTGAGTTCATTGTGATGCCATTCGGATTGACAAATACCCCGACGACATTCATGGATCTCATACATAGGGTGTTCCAGCCCTACCTAAATCAGTTCGTTGTGGTATTTGTTGATGACATACTGATCTACTCCAAGTTTGAGGAGGAGCATGGGGTCACTTGAGGGTTATTCTCTAGACCTTGAGAGACCACCAGTTGTATGTCAAATTCAGCAAGTGTGAATTTTGACTTACTAAGGTAAAGTTTTTTAGACACGTGGTATCGGCTTCGGGGGTGTCGGTTGACCCGAAGAAGGTTGAGGCAGTTATGAGTTTGGAGAGGCCAAAGTTAGTCTTCAAGATATATAGTTTCTTGGAATTGATAGAGTACTACCAGAGGTTCATCGAGGACTTCTCCCGACTAGCCGCACCTATGACCAGGTTGACCCGGAAGGATGTTAAGTTCCAGTGGGATGAGTCGTGTGAGAGGGCATTCCAAGAGTTAAAGAAGAGGCTTATTTCAGCTCCAATTTTGATAATTCCAGAGAGGGGACAAAAGTACACAGTTTATTGTGATGCCTCTAAGGACGGACTTGGGTGTGTTTTAATACAGTTCGGGAGAGTTATAGCTTATGGTTCTCGGCAGTTGAAGAGCCACTAGCAAAACTATCCCACACATGACATGGAGTTAGCAATTGTTGTCTTTGCCTTGAAGACATGGCGCCACTATTTATATGGAGAGCAATTTGAGGTGTTTTTGGACCATAAAAGTTTGAATTACATCTTCATGCAACGGGACCTCAATATGAGGCAGCGCAGGTGGATGGAGTAGCTAGAGGATTATAACTTCACTTTGCATTACCATCCCTGTAAGGCAAATGTAGTGGCTGATGCACTGAGCCGTAAGTCACAGGGAGTCTTGGCCTGTATAGCTTCCTATGAGTGGCTGATGCTCGAGACTGTGAGATAGTTTGGGCTACACTACAGGGATCAGACTCAGGGAACTTTGGGGAGTCTAGTGGCTACGCCTTCCTTATTGAGCAGAGTGATCGAGTCCCAGGGGCAGGATATTGAGATATTTTCTATTAGGGACAAGGTACAGTTGGGTGCAGGTGATGAAGAATGGGCCATTCACGCGGATGGTAGTCTTCGGTTCAGAGGAAGAGTTGTGGTTCCCCAGTCTACAGATCTGAGAGAGGAGATCCTTAGGGAGTTTTATTGCTCCCGTTTTACTGTACATCTAGGTGGCACAAAGTTGTACCATGATCTTCGCCACCAGTTCTATTTGGAGTGGGATAAAGAAGCACGTTGGAGATTTTGTTAGTCGATGTCTCACATGTCAGTAGGTCAAGGCTGAATACCAGAGACCAGCAGGGTTGCTCCAACCTTTAGAGATCGTTGAGTGGAAGTGGGAACACGCCACGATGGATTTTATGACCCACTTGCCACGGACATTGCGGGGGCATGATGCGGTGTGGGTGATAGTGGACCGGTTTACGAAGTCAGCACACTTTTTTGCAGTACGGATGACCTTCACACTAAAGGATTTCTGTAGACTATATATATATGGAAGATAGTTCGATTACATGGGGTGCCCGTATCTATAATATTGGATCGAGACCCTAGATTCATCGCTCATTTTGGGAGAGTTTTCAATAGGCCATAGGGACACAATTGATGATGAGTACCGCTTTTCATCCCCAAACGGATGGTCAGTCATAGGGGACCATCCAGACTTTAAAGGATATGTTGCGGGGCATGCGTCCTTGATATCAAGGGTGGCTGGGAGGAGCACTTACCATTAATAGAGTTCACCTACAACAACAGTTATCAGACGAGTATATAGATGGCGCCCTATGAGGAACTTTATGGGAGGCCGTGCCATTCTCCGATTTGTTGGACGGAGGTTGGAGAGAGACCCTTCATGGGTTTGGATTTGATTAGAGACACTTCGGAGAAGGTGGACTTGATACAAAAACGTCTTCTCACGGCTCAGAGCCGACAGAAGAGCTACGCCGATAGACGGCGATGATCTTTGGAGTTTGAGGTCTAAGATCATGTCTTCTTGAAGGTGATGCCTAAGAGAGGAGTAGTCAAGTTTGAAAAGCGAGGAAAGCTGTCGCCATGGTATATCGGGCCCTTTGAGGTACTTGAGAGGGTTGGTACAGTTACCTATCGGTTGGCACTACCGCCAAATCTATCTTGTGTTCACACGGTGTTCCATGTTTTTATGCTTAGAAAGTACATTCTAGATCCTACACACGTGGTGGATTGGGGGTGAGCTAGTGGTTGATGCGGATGGGACATTCGAGGAGGGACCGGTGCGTATCATGGACAACCAAGAGCAGGTTTTACATGACAAGACTGTGAGGCTGGTAAAGGTGCTGTGGCAGCACCGTGGGGTGGAGGAGGCGACATGAGAGCGTGAAGACACTATCCGAGCTACCTATCCGTTTTTGTTCGAGGATAGAGGTACATCTCTTATAGTTATAGAGTATTGAATGACTTTTTGAATGTGCATGTTGTTATATGTGCATGTGGGTGTAATTTTGGGGACGAAATTTTCTTAAGGGGGAGAGAATGTAAAATTCGGTAAAAAAAAAAAATTGTATTATTATTATTAAAAATCTTAATCTAAGGGGTCAAATAATAATTAATGGTTAAATTATGGGTCAAAAATATAAATTTCTAAAAAAATAAAGTTATACTATATATATAAATGGAAGACAAAAGTCTTCCACTTTTCTTCTTCCAGTGTGCTGTTGAGAGAGTGAGAGAGAGAAAGGTGAGTATTATTTTATTTTTTCTCTTTTCTTCATTCTCAGATCTACCAAGATTGGCCCGTTTAATCGTTTTGGGCCAAGAATTAAAGTTACTCTACTCAGCGAGAGCTACGCAACAACACCAAATATCGTATTTTTCTCCGAAATAATATCAAAGACGATAATCTAGGCATAAAGTTTAGGAAGTTAAATTGAGTTTCCTCGGAGTTCCAGTACGTAGGCTCATGCTACGAGAGGTAGGCTTTCCCCTATTTAGATTTACTTTCAACCTAAAATATGACATATGAAATGGGTAGGCTATAGGTATATATCACATGTTAGGTCTTGACTAGTGTAACTAGTGGGTCAAATATATGATTTATAATTAACTTTGTAATTAAAAAAAAATCCTATTATTGTTAACTTGGTGAAAGTTAATGTTAGTAGTTTAAAACATGTTAATTGTACATTAGCATTATTTTATGTTTTAAATGACATATCAAGTTTAATGAAATTATTAGCTTGTTATGTGATTATGGAATAATATGTGTGTTAAATGATTATTTAGCATATAATTATTGTGGTACTTGTGCCTATGTTTATAGAATTGATAAACATGTTGCCATGTTGAAAATGTTATTATATTGTATTCTTTATGTAATGGACATTGTAAATGGTACCAAAGGCAATTGCACATTGAAATGTCATTATGCATGGATTACATTACATTTATGGGCATTGACATGGGTGGGAGTATGTGCATGGGATGAAATCAATCACCACATAGGTGGTTGATTGTGGGCTCAGAAAAGTCGCACCAAGGTCTAGCTGAGTCACACAAAAAATTAAATAGACCCGCTTACTTGATTTATACACTTTCTGGCGGTGAAATTCCAAAAAAGTGTAACAGCCAAAACGGAGCCACAAATGGGATGTCCTGAAAATCCGTTGATGTTTGGTGTCCCATTGGTGTAATACCATAAATCAACTCCCCACAAAGACACAAGAAATTATATTAATTAGTCATTGAGTGTACATAACATTAATGACGGGACTTGGAATGCCCGGATTCATACGCATGACATTATATGTGTTGTAGGAGCTCAGGATGGGGCTCAATGTTGGTATTGTGTTCGTGAGTCTCATCTCATGACATAACATGATTTATGGCATTTGCTCATAATAGACATATTTGAATGATTGCATGAAATGATTGTTGTATGTGACATTTCATTTGCATTTAGGTTGAGAGGTATTCTCTATAAGAGTTACCCTATTGAGCCTTGGCTCACCCTTTATGGGAATATTTTTCAGGTATTGCACAAGCGTTCACAGAAGGCAAGGTCATAGGTCCGCTTTGACGACAGAGCCGGTTTGTGACTCTTTTTTTGACATCGTAGTCACTTGTTTATAATTACTTTTGGCCTTGTGTAATTTTTGTAACAAAAACTTGTTTATATTTAAAAGGCATGTATAAGGGACTCTTTTGAGACATTTATTCTTTTATGAATGAATGTACGTAATGATGATGATTATGGTAGTATTCAATACTATACAATTGTGAATTGATGGATAGACCCAGTGTGGTCAATATTGTACAGGTTGCGTTTTTGGTAGAGCTCCTTGTATAAAGGAGATTCTGCATAAATTTTGTTAAGTTATGAATCTCAATAAATGGGACATAACGATGTGGTATCAAATTACATGGTATCTACAGGTATTCAGCGGGTTGACAGGTGGTCAATCGGGTAATTACAGACACAAGGATTTTGGGGTGTCACATGAGGTGTCGAATGTCGAGGACACATGTCACTCGCAGGTACTCTACAAAACCCTTTGTGCCAAGGATACTAGTCACTAGCAGATGGCACCGAGGAAACTTTGGTGCTGAGGACATGTGTCTCAATAATAGTGCTCCGAGGAACCATCGTGTCGAGGACACATGTCGAAACTCAAGCATTCTGAGGGCTCTTGTACCGAGGACACGTGTTTATTTATGTTGATGTCTTAGAAATGTCCTATCAACTGCCCCTCAGCCCTTGATCTTCGTACAACATGGGAACATGGCATGAGAAGATGAAAGGGCTTTGCCCCTTCCTTTACTGTGCAGCCATTTTCCCTTACTTGGAGATCGTGCACATTTAATGCGCCTCCTTTGTGCTTTGTGCTTTGTGCATAATGATGGGGGGCTAGCCTCTCTTATTTAAGGAGAGTCTTTACCTTTTCTTTCCACTTTTGCAAACTTAACTAAATCTAGAGATCCCTTTGCCAGAGTTCAACCAGAAACACCAATGTTCGCCTAAGAAAGCCATCAATTCGTTAGAGTTCATCAGAGAAGGAAGCCATCAACCCCATTCTCTGTACCAAGGTTTTCTGTTTTTTGGTTAGTAATTGTTTTTTTCCTTCCTTTTCTTCTTCTTCTTCTTCTTAGTTACCATATCCTCTCATTTCGTTTCAACTCTATCATTATCGTGTTTAGTCTTCCTCCCTCTCTATTGTGCCCTCAATAGTGACCTTTAGGTTTCCAAATCCCAGGAAACCACTCCCTTCGTGTTCCCTTCTCTGTTATGAATCATGCTGAGATTAGGGATGACAGTGAACCAGGGAAAAATTGGTATTTGTCTAAACCTACCCTGTTTGGACTGAGGATGGACTATACGTATTGAATGGTGGATGTATACAGGAATACTCGTATAAATTTGTACGGGAATAAAGTCGGGGATAGACTTATCCTTACCCCCACCCTGCCCTCGCCCCTAACTAAACTATTTACTGTAACTACTAATCTAAAAATATGGTAATCAAACTAACAAGTGGCATTGCTATGTGGTAATCTTATCAACTTTTTTTCATGATTGTTCTTTTTTCTATTTGTGTTCACTGATTGAAACTGTAGGAGTTTGGATTGATCATGCTCTAAAAACATATAAGAGAGAGTGAGATAGTTTTGCATTTCATCGTGGGTAGAAATATTGTGAATGGAGGTTGATGAGTTTTTCTGCTAGAGTGAACTAAGAAATGGGGAGACTTATTGAATTAGCAAAATTTTAAGTTTTCATCTTTTAACACTTTATGGTTGTAATATGAATTGTAATAACAAAAATTCTTCTAAGAAACTTCAAGTATAGTGCTATCATTTTCTTAGTTCAATTTTATTTTCCTTCTTCCTTTCTTTCTAATAGTTATGTTTCTCTTTTTGTGGTCCAATGACACTTTAAATAGAATACTATATTGTTTTGGCTTTTATATTTTGTAATCTACATTATGTTATATTAGATTATGTTAGATTATTTAGAATATTGTAGGATTATTTAAAGTATTAGATTTATTTAAAATTTTAAATTATGCTACTTGGGCTTGGACTTGGGCTTAGGCGGGTACGGGGGAAGCGGGGACGGGGTTTAGAAATTTACTCGAGGACAGAGATGGGGATAAAAATTATACCTGTTAACGGGGGGAGGACCGGGGATGGACATAGTTTTTTTAAGCAAGTACAGGGATGAAGACTACATTCTCCGCCCCTGCTTCGGTCCACTGATATCCCTAGCCAAGACGTTGTTGGAGTTAGAACTTCAGGGCTAACGAGGTTGACAGCTCAAGTCGGAGGAAGTACACTATCAAGGGCTGCCAACCAATTATTAATTTTAAGGCCCACTACTCCATTCCCATCGGGGGTGGCTATGAATGAGTTCGTCCCAGGACTTCACAGTGTCGATGCTGCCACCGAGGTGACCATGCCCTTTTATACTAAGGCCATTATGGAAGGTGGCATTAGGTTCCTCCTCCATCCACTCCTCCTCCGTTTTCTATCCCGATTTTGTCTCTTCCTGGCACAGTGTTACTTTAACACCTTTAGGATCATCATGGGAGTGGTGGCCCTGAATGAACGCCTTCGAGTCAACCTTGGCTTGGAGGTCATCTTCTTCTGCCATGCCTCTTTAAGGTGATGCCTCAGTAAAGGTTTTATGTCAAAGCTCGAGACCCGTCCATGTACCTTATAACACATCTCCTTGACTCGGACAAGGGGTATAAGGATGACTTGTTGGTCTTCAGTGGTTAGTGCAAGAAAGAAGCCGGCCCCGAGTACAATGGTTTGTGGTGCCCCAAGTAGTGGCGAACAACAAGTACGTTGGCTTCTCTCTCTCTCTCTCTCTCTTCTTGGCTTTTATCACTTTGGTTTTCCTTTTCCTTTGTTCTACTCATGATTTGTTGTTCTTTGTAGGAGTCTCTAAAGCTGAAGCTGCTCCTCATCCTCGACATCTTGTCAACCTTGCTGACATCATCACTGTTTGAGGTTATCTTGGCAACGGACTTGCCCGAGCCGTCTATATTTTGCTAGACTACACTCTAGGATACAAGAAGTTCTTTCAGACTCCTCAACCATTTGATCCTGCAAGGTTGTCGACATTGACCGATGAGAACTTGAAGGAGGAACCCGATAGAGCCATAGAAGCTAAGGTAGAGGTCGTTGAAGATACAACCAACGAGGTTATAGAGATCAAGGATCCCTCCACCACCATCCACGTCAAGACAAACACATCAAGCAGAGTGACTTGGTCAGACTTTGACGTCCTTCCACACTTGGATGAAGAAGACACACTCGAGGTTGCCATGTCGAACTGACCTCGCATTACCCTCGGTATGCTCATGGAAAGGTTTGAAGGTTTGTCGGACAAGGCCAAGGAACAAGCTCCAACATTACTCCTAGCCAGGAGCACATTCCCCTGCTTCCTTCTTCCTCAGATGCCCCAGTCTTGTCGACACCCATAGGGCATGGGCAAGGGCATGACAGAGACTTTCAACAAGAGGAGAAGAGAGTCAAGCAAAGACACGATGGAGTCAGTCGGGACAGGGGCACTCCTACTCCATCTCTGACATCGGTGCCCACTCCAACCATAACGATGCTAGCTTCCACCTCAACTTCGACACCTTCTCTAGCCCCAACTACCCCTGAATGGCGTGGAAGGGCCAGAGATCGGGACAACAAACCGGTCTGGAAAACCGACTCCCTCGTTGCTTCCCACCACATTGCCTATGCCGTGAGTAAAGCTATTATTTTCGACGTTGACATGGATGTGCATCGACTCTTCTGCTCCATCATCCATAGCTCTTTGGTGGTATGTTTTTACTCTTGTAATTTTTCCCTTCTTTTTGGTTATAGCCTTTCATCAGCGTGACTCTTTCTTTCTTTGCTTAATAGACTGCCTAGCAGATCTCGATCATTGTTGAGCTCTTCCATGCCCCCTGGGAAAGGATCCAGGAGTCTAAGAGGCTCTAGAATGAGCTGGAAGTGGCCCGAGCAGCTCTAGTCTCAGCGAAGGAGGATGTGCCTGCCCGAGACAAGACCCTGTCTTTCCAGGCGGCCCTGATTGCTGAGCTCCTTAAGGAGAACGAGGCTGCTAAGGGGGATACCAAGAAGGTGAAGGCCTCTCTCGCCGTCGTAGAGAAGAGGATAACTGAGGCGAGGAGGCAGTTGTCAACGACAAAGGTGAAGATGACTAAGACGGTGCAGACTTGTGCCGCTCTGACCCAAGAGTTGGACAAGGTGAGGGCAGAGCTAGAGACGAATAGGAAGGAAATGCAAGAGATCGTCGAATGTTGTACTGATAGCATCCTGGTGACCATTGAGGAAAACAAGAAGGAATATTTCAAGGCTGGCTGGGATGAGGCACTTTGGGCTACAGGGGTCCATACCGACTCTGCCCTCTTCAAGGAGCACAAATACATTCACTTCGAGGAGATACTACAAGCCTTTGCTGAAGTTGTAGTTGAAGATGTTGAAAATTCTCAAGTGTCAAACTCGGCACCAGCTACTAAGACTGTGGCCTCGGCTCCAGTCAACGTTGTTCCTTTCCAAACTCTTCCTCCTGCTCCTACTTTTACTGATATTACTTCTGGCTTTGTGCCTGCCCCTCAGGCTGATGCTTCTACTGCTCCTGCTGACATAGAGTCTGTTTTTCACAGTGCCAACTCCTTCTCTGCCAGCATCGATGAACTTTTCGAAGACATTGGAGGAGGCATTAGCAGCGAGGTCATTGGGCCTCCAGGAGTTTAGATTTTTGGTTTTCTTGTAATTTTGTTCTTGTTTTTTGTTGCTTGAGGGACACAAAGCGCTCTCTTCTTTGAATGAACAAGTCTATTTTTTTTCCAAGTACTTGCCCCTTTTTCTTTCTTTCTATTTTATTTTTTTCTAAGTGTGATTCCTCGGGGCCGAGGTCATAAGACCATAACCGGGACCTTCCTACTCCTTAGGGGAAATGTCCTATTGGCATCTACTTCTTTTAGTGAAAAATTTTCTAAATGTTCCCCTTGGGAAATACACCCATCTTAGAGGCTTTTTACCTCGGGGCTATTTGTGCCGAGGTCGTTGGACTCGAGGTCAGGGTCCTCCTTCCTCCTTGGGGTACTGCCCTTCTTCGGCTTTATCTTTCTTGTGGAAAATTTGTTATGTTTCCCCTCTGGAGATTTGCCCCATCTTAGAGGCTCCATCTCTTGGGTCTTTTTGGGGCAAGTTTGCCTCTTATTTTTTCTAAGGCCTTGCCCTCGGGGCCATACCCTATCCGGTAGGCCATGCTTCTTTTATCTCTTTGGTGGCAGGAGTCTCAAGACTCCGCCTTCGAGACCATGCCCCTTGCAGGAGGCCATGCTCCTGTTTTTCTTTGGGGGGGGGGGAAAGAGTCTTAAGACCTTGCCTCCGGGGCCCTGCCCCCTCTAGGAGGCCATGCTCCTATTTTTCTTTGGAGGCAAGAGTCTTAAGACTCCACTTTTGGGGCCATGCCCCTTTAGAGACAGTACATTTAGCACAAAATGAGCTTTTATTTCTCAAAAATAATACTTCTTCAAATTCATTACATTCCAAGGTCGCATTACATCATTTTCTTCCACGTCTTCAAACTTGTATGACCTGGATCCTCTTACTGATGTGATTATGTACGGTCCTTCCCAATTATGTCTCATCTTTTCATCGGTTGGGTCTCGGGTATTTCTGACTACTTTTCTATGCACCAGGTCACCCACTTGGAATCCTCAAGGCTTGACACTTTTGTTGTAGAGCCTAAATACCCCTTCTTAATACTTTGCTAGTCTCAAGACAGCCATCTCCCTTCTCTCCCTCGCGAGGTCCATGTCCAGACTGAGTTGATGATCGTTGTCTCTAGTGTCAAAGGCCTATGTCCTTATGGTAGGAAGGCCTACTTCAAGTGGAATTACTGCCTCTACTTTGTATGCCCTGGCATAAGGTGTCTCGCCTGTTGAGGCCCGCGGGGTTGTCCTATAAGCCCAAAGGACGTTCAGAAGTTCATGCCCATTTCCCTTTAGTTTTCTCCAGCCTTTTCTAGATTCTGTTGACGATGGTTTTGTTTGAAGACTCTGCTTGCCTGTTGGCTTGTGGATATAAGGGCATTGAGTAGTAATTCTGGATTCACAGATGCTCACAAAAGGACTTGAAAGGTCCGCTGTTAAACTAGATCCCGTTATTCAACACAAGTGCACGAGAGACCCCAAACCTTGTCACTATGTCCCTCCACACGAACTTTTTGGTGTCCACATCCCTAATAATTAGTCCTCACTATAATGAACTTCTTTGTCTCCAGGAGCCCTAGGGAGGGGTCCAACCAAGTCGAGTTCCCATTAAGCAAATCGCCAAGGACTGGTTAGTAGGTACAGGTCTTCTAATAGCTGTCCGATAGCGGGAGCAAACCTTTGACATTGATTACATTTTCAAACGTAAGCTTATGCGTCTCTTTGCATCCGCGACCACCAATATCTTTGCGACATGATGCAGTAGGCTATTGATCGTCCACCTGAGTACCCCCCACATATTTCTTCGTGCACTTCATACAGGAAGGGCTCTACTTTAACCTCGCAGACACAAAGTAGATAAGGTCCGAAAAATAACTTTCGGTATAACTTCTAAACTAGGGAGGTCGAGGTCCAGAACCTTGGGGCCCTTAACTTTATCTTTCTGGCTTTTTTTGGGATATTTGGGGAGTTTCCCAGAAATAAGGAACCAGAGTCTCGAGTCAATCCAGCTAAGGGGCTCCTCCCCCTCCTGGATGGCTGCCACTATGGGGACGTCATCTATGCTGGAGTTGGGAATGAACTCCATAATGATCCTTCGTGTCAGGTCGGAGTCCAACGCTGAGGCCAGACATGCCAAGGCGTCAACGTGGGAGTTCTTATCTTGGGGAACTTGCATAATTTCTACTTTCTTGAACTTGTGGATCAATGACATTGCTTCGTGGTGATAGGCTTTCATCCTCGGATCCCTTGCTTCGAATTTCTCATTGATTTGGTTGACCACTAATAAAGAATTGCAATGGACTATTAACTCTGCAGCCCCTACTACATTGGCCAATTTGAGTCCAGAGATAAGAGCTTCATACTCTGCTTCATTGTTGGATACCTTGAAGACCAGTAGCATGGCTTGCTCCTTTACAAGTCCCTTCGGGGAGACTAACAGTACCCTAATTTTGGAACCCTTACTATTAGAGGATCCGTCCACGCAGAGGCTCCAGAAGTGTTCCTAACTGTCCACGAAGGGTTCCACCTCGGGGGACGATGGTTCCCCCTTAGTGAATTATGCTATGAAATCCGCCAACAGTTGGCCCTTTATCTCTAGGTGAGGTTTGTACTGAATATCATGTTTCCTCAACTCCATCACCCATTTTGCTATCATCCCGAAGAGGTCTGCCTTCCTTAAGCTTCCCTTCAAAGGTTGATTGGTTAAGACGGTGATTGGATGCGCCTGAAAGTAATGTCTAAGTTTCCTCGCGGCTGTGACTAGTGTCAATGCAAGCTTCTCCAAAGGCAAGTGCCTTATTCCGGCATCCAATAAAGCTTTGCTAACATAATATGCTAGCTTCTACTTTTGTTCATGCTCATGGACCAACATGCTACAAACAGCAAACTCCAAAATAGCCAAGTAGAGGAACAACATCTCCCCTTTCTCTGGGACGGACAAGGTCGAGAGGACCCTAAGGTACTCCTTGATCCCTCCGAGTGCCTCCGAGCATTGCCCATTTCATGTGTCCTTCCCAGGCCTCTTGATTGCTCTAAAGAAATGCTTGCACTTGTCTGAGGACTAAGAGATAAAACGATTCAGGGCAGCTAGAATTCTTGTAAGTCTTTAAACATCTTGGACAATCAGGGGACTGCGTACGACCATGATAGCTTGTATTTTTTCTGGGTTGGCTTTGACTCCACGACGACTTACTAGATACCCCAAGAACTTTTTAGAATCAACTCCGAAGGCACACTTAGTAGCATTTAGTTTCAATTCATACTCCAAGAGAGTGGAGAAGGCTTTTTCCAAGTCCGCGATGTGGTCACCTCATCTCCTGCTTTTGACCAACATATCATTAATGTACACCTTCATGGTGTTCCCAAGTTGTCACTTGAACATTCGATTCATTAGTCTTTGATATGAAGCACCTGCATTTTTCAGACCGAAATGACATAAATTTATAACAATAGACCCCCCTTGGAGTGATGAAGGAAGTCTTCTCCAGGTCAGGTGGATGGAGGGTGAATTGGTGATAACTTGCTCTGGCATCCACGAAGCTCATGCGCTCGTGTCTTAATGGGGCGTCAACCAATTGATCAACTTTCGAAAGGGAAAAATCATCTTTGGGACAAGCCTTGTTCAAATTTGTGAAGTCTACACAAACACGTCACTTCCCTCTCTTCTTCTTGATGCAAACGGTATTTGACAATCATTCTAGAAACTGTACCTCCTAGATGGCGTCGACTTCCAGGAGCCTTTTCACCTATTCGTTTACCACCTAGGAGTGATGCGGAACTATACGCCTTGGTTTTTTCTTTACAGTCTTATAGGTGGGATTAACATGGAGCCTGTGAGTTATAACATCGAGACTTATCCCTCTAATATCCATGGCGTCCCATGCAAACACATCCACATTCTTTCTCAAAAAATTAGCCATCTCTTCTTGCTCGGCTGGGGACATGGTAGACCTGATTAGGAAGTATCTCTCCTTGTCTCCTTCTGCTAGGAGTACCTTCTGAAGGTCCTCCATGGAGAGATCAGCTGGATCAATCCACGGCTTATTAATCCCCATCCGTTCGTACTATTATTGCTATTTGTTCAAAACTTCTTTCGGGGAACGCTTTTTCTCCTTGGAGATGACCCCGGCTTTCACAGCAGCATAGAAGTAACTTTTTGTGGAGGCCTGATCTCCATAAATCTTCATTATCCCCTCTAGAGTGGAGAATTTCAACTTCTGGTGGTAGGTGGAATGTACTGCTCTAAGCGAGTGCAGCCAAGTCTGCCCCATGATGATATTGTATGGTGAGTCAGAGTCGATCACCACAAACTCTATGTCAATCGTGATAGGTACCATGGTGACCGACAGAGTAATCTTCCCTAAGGGTAGGGAAAATGATCAATTGAACCCGACAAGGAGGGTCTTGACCCTAGTCAAATCCTTGGACCGAAGGCCCATTCGTTTCAACACCTCGAAGTACATCACCTTCAAGGAGCTCCCTGAGTCCACCAGCACCCTCTTGACGTCAAATCTGCCAATCCGCAAAGTTATGATCAAGGCATCTTCATAGGGGAGAACCACGTCTGCCAGGTCGACATTGGAGAAGGTGATACCTCTATGATCTGTCTGGGGCCTCTTACTCAAATGGCCCCCATTTTTATCTTCCACCTTCCAAGCAAAGGCTATCCTCTTAAGGTCGGACCTAAGAGTGTTAGTTGTCGATCGTTCAAGGGAGCAGACGTAGATGACGTCAATGACATTACCAGGGATAGTGGCCTGGTCCTTGGCAATGCATGCCTGCCTCGGTGGATCCTCTTCAATGAACTCCTTGAGGTGTCCCTCCTGAACTAACTTCTCTAGGAAGGACTTGTAAACCTGGCAATTTTTGGTGAGGTACCCCACGTCCTTGTGGTATGAATACCTCGCATTTTGGTTCCTGGTGGATGGATCACCCTGTATCTTGGGTGGCCACTTAAAGAAAGGCTCTCTCTTGATTTTATGTTGCAACTTGTAGATAGGCTCTTTGAATACGGTGTGAGCCCTCTTAAAGATG